TTTTTTTTTTTTTGAGGTCTTTATTTCCAATAAAGATACAGTGTTGTTTAATTGGTAGCTTACAGTTGTGAGTAGAATAAAAGAAAAAAATTCTCTTGTTTAAAATTTAACAATTATGGATGACATTCAGAGAGATTCTTGATCAACCAATGTTGTCTGTGTTTGTGTTGGAAATTTACTACACTAAGTATTAATAATGATAAATGCTTAAATAGTTAATGTTAACTGATAGTTTTTTGTCTATTTTTTTTTATTGAAAATAATTATGTAATTTGGTTAGATTGTAGAGGAATTTGGAATGTTACAATCATTTTGGTAGCTGAACTATCCGCAGCAGCTATTCTTTTTGCTATTCTTTTAACCATCACTAATGCTGGTTCAGAGAATATGGAGTCGGTTTTGTGTGAATATGTGCATCTGTTTGTATGTGAGGGAAAGGATAAGTTTGGAAGTAAACAATAAAAACTGTTAAAAAATATGTGGCCGAAAAGATGAGTTTTGCCTTTATCTTTTTTTCCTTTGTAGTATAACAGTTATTCTGTTCACTTAGCCTTTTTTGTCGTCTTTAATTGATCTTTTTTTTTTTTTTTCAATTTTTCATTAGCAAACATTTATTTAGACGATCAAATAAACGTTTTGTAGTGGCAATAAAATGAAAGTGGATTGAATTTGTATGAGATTGGGTTTTGTGGGAAAAATTCTGCAGAAAAATTGACCAATAATTGGCAGCTTTACTGTGTGATGTTATGTGTTTAAAATTTGTTTAAAAGAAATATGCCTTAGTTAGTTGTCATTAACTTTTATATGAGTTATCACTGTAATGCTTAACAATTACGCTGTACCTGTCGTTATATAAATGCGACTGTACGTTATTTGATAATTTGGAAAGTGTTATTTTTCGAAGTCATAAATTACTTGCTTTTATTCATCTATAACTTAAAAAAAAGAGAATTTTAAGGTTTCAAGTACTATGCTTAAAAAAAAAGTATCGGCTATGGGGGCATCTGTGCAAAGACAAACACAGTCAGAATCTTGCCTCCCTAATGTAGCAACAAGTAGTCGTTTGAAATCGACAAACTCAGATGGTCTAAATAAAGTTTGTTTAGCACTTCTGCATCGCTTATTTTGCTGTAGTGCAACTAATCATTTTTTTGGTCATATTTTATTTGAAAATTAACTTAAATATTTGAGGTTGAAATGCCTTTCACACAATTCAGATATTATTGTAAAATTTTCTTTCAGCCGTCTGCATCAGCTCATCATCTAGATAAAAAAACAACAGCTTGCTCTTGCGGGTATTCGTCAACTTTAACCGAAGCACTGAAACAGCGAATTCAAGTGTTGGAAGTTGAAAATTGTCGTCTGATGACAAATCAGGGACAACTAGTAGCCGAAACAAATCGTCGTGTTGAGGTTTGGAATTGTCAGTCTTCTTTTCTCTTTTTTTTTTTCTTTTTTTTTTTTGTATGTTTTTGGAAGTTTTTGGTCTAGTTTAAAGGTAGGCCACTGTTTTAACTGCTTGTGCTTAATACTTTTGGTTTTTTCTCTCAAGTTTTACTGCAACCCTATCTAATTTCGTTTCTTTCTAAAAACTAACAATTTCAAAATGCTGTTGTTCTTTTGAGTTTTTTTTTCATTTTTACGTTTTGTAAATTTTTCATTTCCACGTTTTACTTTTATTCATTTAACATTGTTTTTGATGAATTTGTTGAAAGCAGTAGAATATAATTGCATGATTTTTCAGTTAAGTTTTTACAAATTTTTTTGACGATTTTGCTAGACGAGTAATGTAAATTAATTTAAGGATTTCCACTTTTAATTTATCCATTTACGGCACTGAATTAGCTGTCGAACATTTTTTTTTTTTCTGTTACGGTCTAAAAAGTTTAATTGTTTATTTTGTTATTTTTGATGTAAAAAATAATTCCTTTTTTCTTAATTTTACTTTTTTTTTTGATTCAATATTATGTTAAAAATTGAAGATGTCGTTTTTTGTACGTTTTTATCTGATTAAGAATATCGGATAATCTGTTCATCATTAACAGTTACAAACGTCTGTATAAGGCTGTGCTTAAAAAATAGAAAAAAAATTTGGAACTAGAAAATTCTTGCTGTTTTTCATTGTTTTTTACGCATCTGATTGGTTGGTAAGAAAAGTAAACTGCTTTTTCAGTTCGGAGTCTGGGTTTAGACAAAAAATAAACATTTCTATAGGGAATTAATGTCTGAAAACCAAAGCAATTAAGTTTTTCGATAATTCTAAACTGTTGGTGAATGATTGAATAGACCAAAATAAGGTAGTTTTTTGTCTGTTTGTTATCATTGTGGCCAAGAATTTTGTTGCCTTCTTCAGATGCATATCAGTGAAGTAAGAACGCTGAAGGAAGAGCTAAAGAAGTTACGAGAAAGTAACAAAGAATTACGTGATCTTTGCTGCTTTTTGGACGACGATAGACAAAAAACACGACGACTTAGCAGGGAATGGCAAAAATTTGGTCGCTATACAAGTGAAGTTATGAAACAGGTGAAAAGCTTACGACTTTTTTGTGCCTTTTCTTACGTTCTCTGACCACATATTTGAACAAAGTTATTTACAAGTTATATATGGATTTTTTTATGCCGCAGCAGTCATCACTGCTTCAATATACGTATTGCTTTTGGTACCTGTATTGAAGAAGTTTACATTTTAAGACTGGTGGGATCTTTACAGGAAGTAAAAGCTTATCAAGCAAAATTGCGTGAATTAGAAAATCGACAACATTTGTTGATTGGTGAGAACGACGAGCTGAAACGATTGTGTCTTTACTTGGACGAACAGCGACAATCTATACTGCTGTCAAAAGTGACAAAAGGCGATCAAACAATTATTTCCAGGGATAAGTCATCAATAAAAAATAGCAATGACAGTAACGGATGTGATTCATCCGGTTGTGGAAGCAGTACCGGTAGTCAACGAGGTTCTGAAGATGAAGAAGATTCACATAGTGAGCGTGACAAGAAAACGAGCAATTATGATGACAAACAGGTAAACTTCGGCATTATACACTGAAATCTGTTTGTCCATTTTTTTTTTTTTTTTTTTTTTTATCGATAACTTTTGTTGTAGGAGAATACTCTTCGGTTGATAACACAACAGTTACAAACTTCGTTAACTCTTGAACGTGGAACAAACCTTAATTCTGAAAAAACGTCGTTCTTACGGCACAATGATTTAAACGAAGATCAGTTACTTGAGTACATTCAGTCCCTGGAAACCAGGGTTCGTCAATTGGAACTTTCAGTACAGTACAGCGCGGTTAGTTTTACATTTTCTATTTCAAATAATCTTTTTTCAATAATTAGTATTTGTTTAGGACAGCTCACGTCTCTCCTGTCCAAAACATGGCTTGGTCAATGGACCCGCAAGTGAAAGCGAAAAGATTAGTTCAGAAAGCCACGCTATCTCAAGATCGTGTGATAGTAAGCCAAAAGCTGATGAAGGTAAAGAAAGTGACTTTTGTCGGACTACGTCCCATTCACCAACCAACCAAGCATCATTGGATTCAACTTCTAGTATGAGTTTAGTTAGAAAAATATGAATGCTACAAAGTTGCTGCACGTTTAACCACGTAGTATTGGTAGTTTATTCAATTTTTTATTTATTTATTTATTTATTTTTTGTAGGTACAGTGTTATCCTCCGGCACCACATACTGTAGTTCATGCAGTGATGGGTCGGTGGATACCACCGTTTTTGTTTCTGGCGAAGACTTTGATGATGGAGATACGCATTTGGAAGTTAGAACACTTGGTCCAATCGATGAAAAAGCAGAAGACTCATCGGCTGAAAAAGCTCACCTGAAGTCTACTAATACTGAATTAACTGAAAGCAATTGTCAAAATCCTGTGAACAGCACAGATGTTCAAATGCCGCCTACAATTGCACCAGTTAGCGTCAGTGTAGTCTGTTTTTTTTTACAGTGTCTAAGTGCATCAGAATGCCTAAAGTAGCTTGGAGGTGGTTTTTTTAGGCATCTGTCAGTCGTCTATCGTCATGTTGTTCAGATTTATCACTCGACGGTGTTTCATTACATCCAACGCAACCTTTTCCTTCATACAGCTCATATGTTTCAAAACCTTCAGAACGATGTTCTAGCGTTATGAATCTTTCGAAGAACAATGATTCAACAAAATCAACGACAACGAAGTTAGCATCTGTAACGCCTGCTACAGTAACTACAACTAATCGTGGTAAGTGGTAAAAAAAGGAAAATGCTTATGACTTTACAGTGTCTTGAGCTTTAGTCACACTGTTTACAATCACAGACTACTTGTAGATCCTGCTGTTGCTAAAGATTCATTAGTTGATGCAGTTAAAGTTTTACAACTTCATGAAATGGCTGCTCGAAAAAATATCCGTAGTTTATCAGCACAAGAAACAGCTATTGTACAACATATGTGTCAGGTGCGTGTTTTTTAAATTTTTTTGCAGGATTTTTACTTTCTTGTTGAGTGAAAAATCATTGGATTAAAATAGCTGTTGGTGGTTTTTTCAAATAGACATAATTTCTAATATTTAACTATAAAATATTTTAGATTGCCTGGGATTCATTGGACCGGAAGTCACAGACGTTCAGCAGCACTTACTGTAACGAAAACGGTGATTTGATGAAGACTCAGATGACAGCCGTTTAAGGTT